GTTAGTTAGCTGCTGTTTAATCAGTCCTTAGCTACTTCCAAACACACACATGCCATGGAGTGAACCCACACTGAAAACCCAAGTGCCCCCACAAATATGCTCCAAGTCTCTTACCGGTCTCTCCTCTGCGATGACCTCTACTTCGCATGCAGGCTCTGGCACAAAGATACCCTCTTCCAAATTCTCAACCCTCTTCCAAGTCTGCTTTGAGGGTCTGGGCCTCCTCCATTTGCCTGTTCATTGGATCTTCCCAAACAGGGTCAGGTATCTCAAAGAGTCTTTGGGCAAGATGCCGTGTCTCCTCCTCAAAACTATTTCTACAGTAACGCTTTCTCTAAAGCCTTCTCAGGGTTGTAGTGAGTGGGCCTACAGGCATTGTGAAAGAATCTATATCTGCCCCTGCTTGCCTTAGCACAGTCTCAGATAAACAGAGTGTTCATTTGGGAAAGCAGATAGACCTGGTGGGGTTGCCACCCAAATCCCACCCCCTCTACTCGTTCCAATTGGTTCAGCATTGTTCTTGGGAGGTCTGAGGCCTCTGAAACCTCTGCCAGTTGGTTGGGGGTGGTGGGGCAGGTTGTTAGAGGGGTCACACCACCACCCTGCCACCCCATAGAACATGCCTGTGCTCTGGCAGGGGGCTAGATCAGTCTGGGACCTGATAGGCCATAACTACACCACGTGATCTGGGGCAGTTCTTGCAGCCTGAGGGGTTGGGCTTTGGGGGTGTGCATGGGCTGTCCTTCTGATGTCATGGACCATGTGGTGCTGGTGTCACACACCACATGACTGGGGGTTGGGGTGGTGTTGCTGATGTCACACACCATGTTAGTGGAGGTGGGGGCGGAGTTGCTGATGTAACACACCACGTGACTGAGGGTCAGGGGGCGGGGCTGGTGATGCCATGTATCACATGACTGGGGTCAGGGGGTGGGACTGGTGACATCACACACCATACAAGGGGAAGGGGCAGGGATAAGGGGGCGGGACTTCTGGTCCCACCCACTGGACACATTTGCATTGAAGAGTGGAGAGCCTATATACTACTGACAACTCAAGTTAAAGGGAGTATTGAATTCTGTGATAGAAAGACCTGCTAGTGAGGATGAGGAGCAATGAAGGTAAGGAAAAACATGTCTAAATCAAAGAGACCCAATCAACACAAAAATTGAGGAAAGTATTTAGTGTGGTTAATTTAGGCATTCTAATGGACTTGAACTTCGCATAGGGATGATCCTACCTCAGGCAGGCAGTTGGACTAAATGACCTTGGGAGGTCTCTTCCAGCCCTACTTTTCTATGATTGTCTATGATTCATATTTAAGCACTTTTCTAGAAACAGATTACACATCACTTTTGCACATATGACTCTTCTAGTTTCATCATTAGCGTATTTAAATTAATCTAAGATGACCCAGAATTTAAGAGAACTTTCCCCATACTTAGATTCTATACACGGAAAATTTATAAATTTGTTTTAATTTTCCATGTGTAGAGTCTAATTATTGGAGGGTCAACTTTAATTCATGCCCTCCCCCCACTCTCCACCCCCGGCTATTTGACAGC